ATTCAGGGTACACAAACAATGGCTTAGCTCCTATGAAAACCATTCAGGCCCTTCAATGCGTTTTGTTCTCCATAAAATGATACTGCCAGCGTAGTAACACAGTTTTCTCTTACAGGAATATCCTAAACTGAGTCAATCATATTATGCTCTGCTGGAGATTCTAACGCAGGATCACATGAATTTTCTTAGTAGTCTTGAACCTCAAGTAAGTAGTCATCCATTGGGTTTCGCAAGTTTTTTTTTTTTTTAATAACAGGCAGAGTAAATGGTGAGCAATTTTCAGTTGACTGAGAAGTAATCCGGAATTTCACTAATTTTGCACCATTACGCTCTGCAGTTGGTTCAGAAAACTCGCACCACCCTCTCGACCAAAATCAGATGCAACAAAAATCGTGACTTGGTAATCCGCGTTTCCCCGCACTGTACGCAGTTGATATCTTTTAACTCAATTTTCTAGTCGGCCCCCTTGGCATATTTTCCCCTGTTCTGATTGGACGCGTTGTGATTCCTTTGGTTTACGACTCAAAATACATTTTAATCGATTTTAAGGCGCCCTTAATCGGGCATACCCTGTATGATAACATCTCACGGAATTTGCTATGCAAACCAGATTTGAAAGTGATTTATGCCGTGAATTTAAAACGATTCTTTATTCATTTTACAGGTATTTATGTATATATTATCCTCCATATTGGAGGGCCTTACAGCTTTAGGTGAGGAAGTGCTTTTTGTTGTTACTGAAGTACGCGTAGTGCATCCAGTTTTTACCTGTGCTATGATTAGTTAAAAAATGCGCAACGTCGTAATGTATTCAATTCCGTTTTGGAATGCGACGTTCTGACTGCACACTGCCAGCACCCTTCAGGCAATGAGGTGGACCGGTAACGCGTCTCTTTACGAAACATTATAACCTGCTGTGATTGGCCAGTTCTCATCAGCTGTTATGGGTGCATGGCACAAGTGTGTGCCCTCAGAGTTTTGCTTTCGCAAGACTCTCCTTTTGCTAAGTCTTGGTTGTTGGGATCCATGCGTCTGGGATTTTTATTCCACTCATGGTTTTGAATCGGGTAGGATCCTATGTGAATCGCGCGCGCGCAACAATTGACTGACAAACGATTATATTACATCGGCGCATTCACCTCAATAGATCACCAGAATCCAAGAGTTGACTATGTTTTCGTTTTTCTTGCAAGACATTATGGTCTGCACAGGATGTTGCGGCACACTAGACTTCATAGTGACTCACTTGTACAAAACGCTATCCAAGAGACGGAAGAAAAACTTAACTGGTATGGAACCGCAACCACCATGTTTACGAATATTAGAGTCACACCCGGAAATGATCCAACAGGTCAGTATGAGCTAAGTGTTCTGGTTTTCTTGCTTGATTTCTGTTCTTCTTAGAAACAAGCGGGAAGGAGGTGGATAATGGGTGGGTGACAGTTTTTTCGTCAGAAGGGAAGACCGTACAATTTAAAAAAGATTCAGAAATTAAGCCACCATAATCATACAAAGATGTGATGATATGACGAGAGCCACAACCTTTTTTTAGTCCTTTTGCAGGAGGATCACCTGTATATTTACTGTATATTTAACAAAGGATTTTTTTTCAGTTTACTTTTTGTATACTGCTAAAACATTTTCGATCAAACACTATATACATATATAGGAAAAACTGTTGAGGTTCAATACAGATAATCAGAGGATTGTCGTTGAATTGTAAGGCGATTTCAAGTAGACGGTTATGACATTTCAAAAGGTGGTTTAGTCTTATTTTATTTTGTTTTCTATTCCCCAGCCAAAAATCTCAAATCTCTTTTCCCCGCACTAAAATAAAGGCAAGGCCCTCAGACTAGAATTCCATAGGAGAGGGTATGTTGACGGTGACCGCAGCTCGTGTTTGTTGGTTTGATTATTATTTTTTTTTTACTTTAGATGCTGTCGACAGTATTGAACATTGTCATGTTTGAAGATTGCAAAAACCAGGTAATTATAACATCTGTTATAACCTTTGCACATCGTTCTCTCGGCGTGCTTTCGGCTGGCAACTCTGGACGTTGAAACATCACAGCGAAATTGATTTCTTTTCTCCCTTTGCAGTGGTCTATGTCCAGGCCCCTCCTCGGCCTTATTCTGCTTAACGAGAAGGTAAGATAAAAGTCTGAGGTGCCGGGTTTTTTTGTCAAGCGAGCGTTCGTAAACTTAAGCCGCCATCTTAGATTTTTAAATAGAAGAAAGCTGGGAAAAGAAACAGGTCACTTCCAAGAGAGTGGACGACAGGGAAGAGGAAAGCAGCGATTAGGGGGGAAGGGGGAAAAAATACGCATTCCCGGAGAGTTTCTGAAACAGAGCCTCTGATTGGTGTGGCGTATTTTCCCTGTTGTGTTGCTTATTAATCGCCTGCCAATTTCACAGAGGTTGCCTGTGGAAAAAGTTTATCAAAGGTGAAATTTATTAGTTCTTTTTTCCATTGTTTGTGGAAATATCTGAAGCGGAACGTATCAGGAGGTGCTCTCATTTAGAAGCCTTTCCGGGAGGTTGAGTGCTCGGTTTTGCCCGACCCTCGCTCTCCCCGTCTTCTCTTTCACTAAATCAAAGATGACGGCTCAATGAACGATCGCGAGCTAGAGAAAAAGTGAGAATTCTTTTTGATTGTTCACTCATTGTATCCGATTGCCTTTCATTACGAGTGCCTCTCTGTTCTTAAAGCAAAAGGGAAGTCATCTTCTTTTCATCATTTATTTTCACTCTGTCGTTTTCAGTTATTCCTCTACCTTGAATCCTTTCAATTTTGTCTATTTAAATGTGACCTGAAATTAATACATATTCCAATAAACTTTTTAAAAAATTCAAAAGGATTGGTATCGTTTCGTGCTTCAACCTTGTTGATTCGACCAGATCTTCAAGGCCTGTGGTGTTTTGAGCCTCACTCAAGCTTGTTATGTTTTTCAAGAGTGGTCAGTCTCAAAATGCTCCTTTCTTACCAGGCAGACAGGTATAAATACGGTGTGACAATGATCTAAGAGCGGTCCGATCGCATGTAGGGATGCCACTATAGTCAGTCTTGGTCCCAAGGACTTACGATTCGACACCGTGTTTCTAATGCAACTTTACACCGGTAAAAAAACGTTTGTGGTTATTTCAGTATTTTCAAGAGCTACAGCGGAATGTTATCGCGATGCAGCCGCCGGAGAAACAAGAAGATATGGCGCAGTGTTTTAGAAATCTTATGGACGGGGTAGAACCATCGCTCATCACCAAAAACAGGGACAGGTCAGTACTTTCGAGAACAACAATCGTATGCAAGTTTAGATGACCAGGTTGAAAAAGTGTCCGTACGATGAGTTGGTAATATGGAATGACTTCGTTGAAACTTCTCGTGAAATAAGTGTGTTGAATGAAAAAAGTAGATTAAATTTTGTTATTTGATACAGGTTCACCCAAAACTTATCAATATTCAGACGGGAAGTGAACAACTCACTGAAGGCTTCAAGCAATGGAGGAGGCACAGCAGGCAAAGTGGATGGAGGGGTGGATATGGTGGCGTGATTACAACTTTTGCGGACCGACCAACCGGTCGATAAGTTGATCATCACTTTCGCGATAATCATTAGGAAAGCGCGGTAGGAAGGAAAAGATCGGGATCAATCGCATCCAATGGAGACGCGGTAGTCAGGACTTGTGTTTGTTTCCTGAAGGGACCAAGTAATTACGCAGAGAAAACAATAGCTAGAACACTAAATTGCTCCATCACGAGCCGCTGGCCTCGTAGAACGTTTGATGCAAACGGTGTCCTGTAATAGAACATTTATTGCTCTGCCAGGTAGCGCGCAGTTAAAAAAGGGAAAACGAAAGGATAGCCAAGCTTTCCTTGACGCAGAAAAGTAACTCAAAATAGAATCGTATGTTTGATTGAAATACTTAGTGTATACTGTTTAGAAAAATTAGCTTCTGTAATGGAATTTTTCCTCTTAATTCGACCCAGTAAAAGTCAGAAATCTTTACCGCACCCCACTGGGGAAGACAAGCATGCGCGTTTCCTGGATCTGCCTTTATTTCGTCTCTCGTAAAGACTGGATGAAATTTGATCATTTCGACGTGGCTTTTCCCAGAGAGATGTAAAGGTTTGCTTGCAAAATTGTGCCTGTACTTCAGTAAATTAGGATTAAATAAATGTCTCCCTTAAGTATTTTCTAGGAAATAAAGAATATCAGAAATCTTAGTTTACAGTTCATGTCATGACTCAAAAAATATTTAATAGGACGAGATGGTCACGTTATTTTTATGACGTCATTTAGTGCCGTGAAACGCCGAACATTTAATGCACCCACATTTCGGTCAGAAGTGTTACTAAGCAACGTGTCATGTAAGTGTGATTATGCTGAACGCACTCTTCGTATTGATGTCCGTTTCTAAAAGGACGGGAATGACTGAGAAATCCTCCGGGTTCTTCCCGATTTTCATATATATTTAATAATGGAAGTGAAGGGAGTGCTAAGTAGCCAGTGAAGACTTAAATCAAGATAGAAACTGTTTTTATAGGAACAAGCTTACCTCCGTTGACAAGAGTTTTTGTCCAAATGGGATATTACCATTTCTCTCAGTACGTGCTCTATGATTAGTCAATTTTCGGGCCGTATATCACTGTATGGCTCGGTAAAGTGAAAAGTTTGTTTGAATTTTAATCTTCCCCCTCTATTTGTACCCAGAGATATGACGAACATGTTACTGACCTCGTTTTCTTGGTCCGCACTGTAAGTTATTATACCTCGTTTTTTCCATTCAGATTAACGGCACGCCCGCGAATTATGGCAAGCGCGTTTCCCACTTGGGCCACAAATCTGAGCTGGAAAAACGCGGTCCTTGACTTTCATTGGGGAGCTAGATCTCGGTTGGTAAGAGGTATTTCTACTTAATATCACATGGACACTCTCCATGACAATTGGCGAACATTCCTTTTTTTAAATAGGTTTGTATGCTCCTGAAGGACTCAACGCGGCTTAAACTTAATACTTTATTCATACACGAATCAGTCACGGCTCAGTGGAAAATTATCATTTCCGGTAGCAAATACTTTTAAGATGGGTCATGATTTGAAAAGGAGACCGTCAGACGGTCGAAGTCCCCACGCTTTGAAGAAATGTTTGGTCTACAAAGCCACGATCAAATCTGAAATACAATTTTCCATGATTTAAATTTCTATAGCGTCAAATTAAAATAAAGGTAGTCATTGGAAATCCCTGAATACGCAAATATTGTCTCCTTTTCGTTAAGAATTTTTATATTTAATTTATAGCAACGATTTGTTTTCACAATTACTACACCTGAATTGAATTTCTATCTCATCAAAGACGCGAATAATCGATAACATATACTTGTGAAGGTAAAGATGCTTTTGTACAACGTATTAAGATCCATCCCTCCGTTCACTCGTCAATACTGAAGTGGCTTAAACTACTTGCTGTAGCGTTTACACGATTCACATTGCTCTGCACGTATTGAGCATGAACTGTCTCCATTATGCACGCGTCCATCAGCGCAAAAAACCAATAACCATTCACCACATATCGACATCAAAATAAACTTTGAAACCTAGAAAAAGGTGTCAGTCGATTTAGACTCTATGTACAAGGAAGTGTAGTGTCCCAACCATAACGGTCTGTAGTTCTTTCTGTCGTTTGTCCTGCAAGTCGTGCGTGAACTGTTAAGAAATAAAAAAGAGAGTAAGCAAAGGAAAGTAAGATTACAACACCGGAAAATGGAGTAACTTTATTTGATTTTGCTTCCTTTTAAGTACAAAAATATGTTAAACTAGGCTTCTCTCTGGAGCTTTTTCAATAATCTTAAACTTTACCATAATAGCGCCGTGGAATCATCAATCGCACATAGTTGATGAAATTGATGACAAATTCAATTCATCATGGAACCCTAGCAGTTCTATAGTAGCGCTGTCCATTACATTTGTCTCATTAAATCCCTATCAAGAGTAAAATCATCTCAATGTATTATCTTGCTCGTAAACGTCTTTTATTTCCTTTGCATGACGCGGAGGGAGGCGGAGTAGAATTAGGAAAGGAAATACAAGGCGTTTACATTCAAGTTGCATTTTCAGAGGTAGCCTCGTTTGGCTAAATTAACGCGCATATATATGTTACAAAGCTCTTAGTGTTGTATATCTTAAATAAACTCCTCATAGGGAGCCATGGGATTTTAGCTTTAATAGCTGGACCATTATTCTCTAGAATTCACTGTCTTGGAGTAAATTCTTTTAGACGTATAAATATCGTTTGATCTCGTCAGAATATAAATGATTTGTTTCCTTTTTTAGTCTTCTTTATCTTGAAAGCGGATTCACAAATATTACAGTGAACCAAACATAGCAAACTGTGCCTAAAGATGGCAATTTCGATTTTTCTCCTTGATGGTTGACAAGAAGCTCCTTAGCTGTGATTAGCTACATCACTTTTGTCGCTCTACTTCAACGAATAAAAGGGCAAAATGAATATCTGAAAACCACTTAAAAACGCTCCAAAGTCACTTTAACCATTTCTTAAGATTGACCAAAAAGTAATTTCTTTCAACCGATATCAGGACATCTTCAAGTAAAGTGGCGACGGGAAGAAAGATAAATATCAATCAATTATTTATCTTATTGCTGAAATTATAAGAATTGTGTAAAAGATAGTGCAAAGAATTTATATTCAGATCTAGGAAGTGAAACTGTTGAAGTAATTAAAACGTATAAGTGTAAAAAAAGTGTCATTCGCGGTCTTATCGAGGGTAGAGCATAACTGCACCTTTTTGTCAGTGTTAGTTTTCTAGTACGCATTGAATGAGTCCTTGTAAACTTTAAGTCCATCTCCAAGAGACTCGTCAGGAGTTACTTGTTGTTGAAGAAGTGATGCATCATCTGATCCGCCGTCCACCATAAAATGCGCAACTGTGATTGGTTGAGTTGAAGGGTTTCCAGGCACGTAACCTTCCCTTTTAAGGTAATAAAAAAAAATCCAGGTATGAGTAAAAGCATATATAGTGGGTAGTAATCGGTAAGGAAAATATATTTGCCTTTTTCCAAAAATTTTCTTTAAGTTAGTTGGTGAGCATAAGGGGCTTGGTTTGGTAACGGCTGAATTGATTATTTGAAGGAAAATGTCTCTATGGTACTAAGTCGTTGAAGCTAATCCTTACGCTAAACATTAAAAATTTGGAGGGTCACAAAAGACAAAATTACCTGAAATAGATATTGTTGACAAAGGCTTCTCTGCGTAGAGCTGTTTTAATCTGCAAGAAGGTAGAATATTTCAGGTAACTTTCCATTAAGGGAATCACTCATTCAAACACAAGTAAAAGAGCTATTAAGAGAAGGCAAAATATTCAAAGATAGAGAAACGCAATTCTGCCCATCTCCTTTGTCACTGCTTTCTTAAGGCAAAATGAGAGGATGTATTCTATGAAGTGAGAAAATCAATGTAGTAGCATTACCATTCTTCATTCTAAAAAAGAGCGTACGGCAATTGAATGAACCTACAATGAGTAATAAGGTACACAGGAACTGAAATACCGCAAGAACCACAATGAACTTAAAGTTAAAGAAAACCACCTAAAGCAGGAGAAACGCGCGTGGACAAGTTACGATAAGGTTTAGGAAGTGGTGGAGTTTTCTTCACTAACTCGGCATGACTCAAAATAAGACAAAAAGCAATGAAATCTTAGATAACCTTGGATATTCAATTTATAATGACTCTGATTGTTGACTTACGGCAGTGGCAAGATTTCCCGCTAAGATCTGATAAGCAGCAGAAGCGTGATCGGTGAATTCTGACTTCCATGGCTGCTTGAGTTTCATTGTAATTTCACCTGGAAAATTTTCAAGCCATTAATTAGGAACAAGCGCACAGTTTGTATATCAACAAAGTCAGCTGACTTCTTGTTACCCATCTCTAGTTTTCCTCTAAGGTTGTGTCTGATCGTACTTTCGATCTAATAGAAAATTGCCAGCGACAGAAAAGCACTCTGAAAAATGATCTATAGTTAACCTAACTGGTGGGTAGTGTATCAAAAAACATGTGACTCGGGACTACTTACCTGGGTAGGGTGCGTAGGCAGTTCTGGGAGGATGCTGGGGTGGACAGGGGTTTGCGCACATTGGCATGACGGACGGGTCACAGCATCCTGCCATTCCCATGTCTGGCATGGGTGGGGGGATTGCACAAGGATTGTCGCATGTGGGACCTGGCTGACAACAGGCACCCGCTACAGGTGGGGGTGGAGGAGGGGCGAAGAAACTGGGAGGAGGAGGAGGTGGTGGGGCGCAGGGGTTGAAGCAGGTTGGTCCAGGCTGGCAGCAGTCATTTTGCTGTTGATCCATTGGCTGATCCATTTGTGGAGCTTGTTGGTCTGGTGCTGGCATGAACTGCTGTTGTTCTTCTGGTCCAGGCATGAACTGTTGGCCATCAGCAGCGGGAGCGTATCCAGCCATAGGTGGAGCCTGTTCCTGAGGATCAGGGGCTGAATCCTGTTGATCCGGGCACGGATTGTCACATTCGGGGCCTGGAGCGCAACAGCCGCGTTTGCTCGGCTCGGGCGCCGCTGAATCGTAAAGCATTGTTTTAATATAGCTCAACGGTTAAGGAACAAAGACCCGTACCAGCCATGCATGAATAACTTGTCATCGAACAAAACATAACAGTTTGTACATACCGTGCGTCAGCACAAATAACGTGAAGCACAACAGTAGCGTTGTTCGTGTCATATTAGTTGGTCAGCGGTCCGCTATGGGTAAAAATAATGGACAACCTAAGCAAACTGAGTATTGAGAAGCGATTTGAACACCAAGAATATAAATTTTTTTTTTTCCCCATTGTGAAACTCTAGAAAGCCGATGCTTCAAGGTCACTGGCGATTTCAATGTCAAAGCGAACCAATGCGTTCCACCAATCAAGAAAAGCACCTCAAGTACTCTTACATGTTCTTTAAATCACAAATTCCTCAGTTTCTAAGTATTATAGAATAATGATACGATCATAACTAAAACGTTTCGCGAAACAAGAGCGAATCAGTAGTTATTCCTCTGCTTCAAATGTCGAATTCATTTTGGTCAAACAATTCCGGAAAGTTAATAGTTTAGCAAAAATGATGTCAATGAGAACTATAACCTTGCAGTCAAATTTTTTCCCTAAGTAAAAGTTTGGTTTTGAGGAAACGTCAAATACATAACTGAACCTAGCCTACAGAGAATGATTTGGCCTTTATCCTAATGGGTAAACAATCAACTCAATCTTAGTTTACTCCAAACCATAATCAACTTCAAAAGATTTCACAGATTCCTTCCAGCGCTTTAATTCGATTACTCTACTTGATTTTGAGAAAGTAGCATTTTCCCGGAATGAGGAAGCCCTTGAATCTCATGATTGATTCCCTGAATTGTATCCGAATTTAAGGTAAAGAGAACTGAATTGCTAATCTCTTTATACAAATTAAAGTTAGGGTTCCCTTGTGCTTGCAGGAATTATACGTACTTGATATTAACAATGACGGATTGATAACTCCTTATGGTTTCAAGATTGTGATTGTTTCAACTTTAACACACGAATTCAAAATTTTCACCGTGAAAACTATCAGACCTGTCATGAAAACTGGCCCGCTCAAGAACCGGTGACTTCACCTCAATTTTATTGACATTGGACCAAATAAAATTGTATTTATGATTCTATCAGCGCTTAATTTCACAAGTAGAGAGTTCGAAGTGATATATTCTTTTAAGTTTGAAGCATAAATACAAAAGCTATAGCTTGAATAACTGAAGGAGTGATATTTTGTGTTTATGAGTGAAGTCACCAGTGCTTCGATCACACATGTCTCGTGGGGGCAAACATTATCCATGACTCACTCACCTTCGTTAAAATGACTGTACCTCAGGGCTTGCTTTAACGTCTTGAAAGAACAGGAAAACACTGTTATATTCAAACGAATTGGACGATACTTGCTAGCTATGTTATAAATGTCGTTCCCCTCTCCGTTTCTGACCGTGTAGTTTTGTTGACAAGTTCGAAAACTAAAGTCGGAGAGGAGCTGTCATCGACCAACGCCTATGCAGGAATAGTAGATAGAGAATTCGGCGAGCAAAACTTCCTGCTCTCAACCTGAAAAACACGGTCGCAAAATAATCGAATATTTTACCTTGAATCCCTGAAGATTTTAGACGAAAGATCACCCTAACCAAACTACGATCTCCGAACCGTTTATGAATTAAAAATTACCTAATTCCTGAAAGAGTACGTGAATCGCTGGTTTGGAACGCCGGGTAAGGATCACTACGTCAGTGAATAAACACTGATTTTGACAGGTGGTAATCTTGTATATTAAAGACAAGCTTGTCAATAATCAGCCAATAATAGCACGTGGATTATGCGTTACATCATTGACAGTTAATCACCCGTGACAAGTTAACAGGTATTTCTTGGCTTCCCCGAGAGTTTTCTGTTGAACTTAAGCCAAACTTACTGGGTTTGTTTTTATTTTTTCGTTTCATATATTTGATTGTCTGAAATATGTTCATTGGTTTTGTTGTTTTGTATGCTCAGAATGGGGAGTTGGTTTTCATAAAAGAAGGATACTTCATCGTCGACGTCTAGCTCTCTGCAATCCGGAATTCTGTCCTCATTTGTAAAAAATACCTTTTAGCCATAAATATTTATGCTACTTTTGAAAACAAGAACTGGTTGGTAACACTTAGGAAGCTGGATTTTCGTCCGGTTTGCCGGATGAGCTCTGCAAGGGAGTACACCTTTGAGTTCTCGAAATTAAATTTGACTGAAAAATTATCTCAATTTTAAGACATGGCCTTCGGTCGTTTTCGTGGTTTACAACTTTTGAAAAAGGGCCGTTCTGGTTTACTACCGTCAGGCGAAGTCTTACCGAGACAAGAGAACTGAGATCTCGCGGCGTTTTATTAGTGTTTTAATAGAATGTATTGATCCAAAATTGGGATGGTTGCTGCATTTGTTTATCATGTTATGTTCAGAGTGTTTTCTAGCTCGAGTTTCGAGTTTGTATTGATGTAGTATTTTTAAAGTTAGAATTATTTTTATCACGATTGACTTTTTTCCCGATGTTTAAACCAAGAAAGTGGGTAACCTGTGCCAGGAAATATGGGAGTGTGGCATCAAACTGGATAAATGAAATGGACGTAAGATGATTAGAGTTTGTGTTTAGGGTTAAATTATCGTTTGCACAATCACTAATGTCATTATCAAATCACTTTTATGTGCTGTTTGATCTAATAGCTTGGAATTATAACCCTGATGATTTGTGAACCAAAAGCATTACCTTTGGTTCTAATTTTCTTGGAAGACATAATATTTTGTGGAAATTAATTTTACCGACGATCCATACATCCTTCGCCAGACAATTCAAACCAAGATTGCTTATAATCGCTAAGATTCTACAGAAGCAATAAGAATTTCCAAAGCATCCTGTCTTAAGGTCCTTGAAGGGAATACATTTTTAAATTCTACATGTAGGCTATATCCAAGAAGCTCGCAAAATATTGACTTCTGTTGCTCCTCACCAAACTAGCAGTAATATCAACCCACCAAAAGATATTTGCCAAACCGCCCTACACATACTTCATGCCTTTTTTTCAAATGTTTGTGATCAGTATTCCGCATTTTATACTGACCCCTTTTCGTGGTCCGTATGATACAATTCGAGTTTGCAGACCGTGACCCGTGTTTTCACACTGACCCAGTCTGTATTCCGCGGTCCGTAGTCCTTAGTCCTTGTTACCGTTATTCTCGGCCCCAGGGTCTTTCTTTCGTTGAAATCCAAGATGGCTAATCTTGTTGATGGCCATGTGGCAGAAGAAGAAGTTTACCAAGGTTTGTTTTCTATCTGAAGTGCTTCAAGCAGTTTTGCTTGTCTATGTATTATACAATGCCTAGCTTAATTGACTCCGCCTATCGGCTGCAGTTCAGAAACTTCAATAATTCAGTAAAGAATATCATTGCTCCAGCAACGACCTCCATTAGAAGGATTTGTTTATATGTAACCTAGTAAAACGTTCATGCTCACGTTAAATTTCTTTGCATTTAGTTTTGTATGCTAAACCACTGGGCTGATGAGGAGACTTATACGCTCTTAGACCTCAGTCTCCATGGCAATTTTTTGCTTTCACCATTCTTTTCTTTTATCAACGAACCGTATGCATAATGGCGTACGAAGTTATACGAAAATCTTGTATTCAACAGCACTTGCAGAGATAACCTTGAAACTTGGAAAAACGGCTTATGACAAAACTGCACATATTACCCATCCTCTGATTGATTAATCCTATTTCCAAGCCAGTGAAGGGGGGCAGAGGGGTGGGAGCCCAGGAGAACAGGGGGAGGAAGAGGGATCTAGGAGCCGGAGCAGAAATTAAAAAGGCGCTTGTTCATTGTTTATTACTGATTATCATTCAGTCAAAAACCAGTACCCAGCAAAGTTTTTTCACATCCATTTAACGTCCACAGAGGTGTAAAAGAAAATTTTACAATGAAAACAGTATTTTTTTCTAAGGCATACAAACTTTCCATATGCAATAGTTCTGACCAAAAAGTTAGTGTTTTCCCTGTACAAACTGTCCTACTCATCAGTGGTACATTATAGTTTATGCCTTTATTTTGCATACCACTGTTTCTCTTCAGTTCTGGTCAAATTCTTGGTTCCCTTTCATTCATTTGTTGTTTCTTTTAGGTGGAAGGCTGGAGACTTTTGTCATCGGTTTATCACACTTTAACTGATTTACTTTGCAACTTGATCACAAAATGAAACATGTCCTCTTTGACAAACCTCAATTATAAAAGTAATAGATAGCTTTTTCTTCTGGGCTCTATAATGTGATCAAGCCACTTGGGATGTTAGGAGAATATTAAGAAAGCCAGAGCGTCACTCACCTTTGGCTAATGATTTACAAGCTTTTCTCTTGCACAATATCCGAAATAGTTTTATCATGTTATAGGGGCTAGTAAAATGTGCTAGGTTGCTCAAGTTTATACATCATTGATTCGGGTCCATTATGGCCCTGAATCCTTTTTGGACCTCATGTAAGTCATTTAGTCTCACCATAATACACTACAATATGATTACTGAATAATGGACCAGCCAACTGGACTGGCTGCCAGGTTAGTTTAATGACTGGCTGACTGGCTGACTGGTTGACTGGCTTATGGCAATTGACTGACTGACTGGCTGCTGCGCTGGCTAACTGACTAACTGACTGACTGACTCACTGACTAACTGACCAACTAACTGGCTGGCTGACTGGACTTCTGATTGACTGAGTGACTTTTTTACTGAATGCTGGCCTGCTGAATGACCGTCTGACTTACGAATTGTCGGTCTGACCGACTTACTGATGGCTGACTGACTTACTGACTGACTGACCTACTGACTGACTAACTGACTGGCTGGGTTGACAAAGAGACTGACCTACCATTATGACTGACTTACTGATTATCCAAGGATATTTGAGTTCACAGTGCATTCTCTCTATAGTATGTGTGTTTGTATTTATGTATATAGTATCATCATTTGTGAGTGAAAATATAGCCTGTAGTAAGCAACCTTAATTGACATTTTTGGTACCACTGAGTAAATACAACAATTGAGAATGGTTTTGAAATGTGCATAGGTTGTATTTAATGAGTGCTTTTGCGAGGAATTTTGTCTACTCCAAACACTAGGATGATTTTTTTGTCGTTATTCAAGCTATTCTTTCCACTGCTCTTCGTTGTTTCACCCAGGGTTTTGAACATCTGTAAGAGGAAGGTTGTTTTACTGTAGTCCAGTCCAAATTATTGATGGGAGTAGGGGTGGGGGACACTTGAAAAGAAGGTGGGTTAGCTGCATTTCAGAGAAGTTACATCTGTTCATGAAATATCATCTGCCAACTCAACACATAGATTTGGTAGGTTTTCTATAGTTGAATTCTTGTCAAAACTAATCATACAGTTAATCAGTTTTTGTGTTCCTGTTTATTCACTAGAACAGAACATGTTTTAAAGGCCTGTAGCTGTGTGATAGAGAAATGTTGCATGTAATAACATCTAAGGCTACCATTACTTGCTTGGCTATTGGCAAATTTTATCCAGGTGATGTAATGTCCAGATACCTGTGTAGTATTCATAACATACTGTTATTATTTTTTTGGGCCAGCTAGCATTTTTGGTTAGAATCTAATTTTCTCCTCTTAAGAGGGGTGGTGGGGAAATTGGCCAGGGTAGTGACATTGAGGTTACTTTGGCTCTATTTTATTTTTTTAGTTTCAGTTTTTTGATATAGTTGTATAGTACTTAATAATTTACATACAGTTACTGTATCAGGTGTAGACGCTTACACGTGCAACTAAGTTTTGTTCAAACTGTCTTTTTCAGGTAGACAGTGGTTTCCTAGAAGATTGCAGTTGTGGAGGAATGAGTAATGATGTCTACAGGGATTGAAATTTTAAAGCTTATACGTCAATGTACAGATTACAGGTTAGAAATCTCTACATCTTAGTGGTTCCATGGTTATACTGTACAAAAACCAATTTAGACGTTTAGTTTGACAGTGAGAAGCTGTCCACTTACTCTCCATCACTTATCATTCTCACTTCTTGAAACTGCTTGAATAAGTAGTCTTTTGGTCAGATCTCAATAATAAGAAAATCATACGACATCAGTGATGTTAGGACTTAACAGCTTAAGAAGTTGATCCTATCGCTTACGGCAAACTACATTTTAACTTCATAAATGTCCAGTTTGGCATTAGTAAACTTTTTGGAATGTTAGCCGGCATACGTGGTTTTCGCTTCAGTCAAACCCAGATTATAGAATGCACGCTAATTTTTGTTGTTGTTATTTCCTCAACATGTAATTCAAGCAATTAGGAAGTTAACCACTCTCTATTTTAGTATTAAAAAAGTGATGAAAATGAAATCGAATCAGTCAAATTCACGTCATACGACTCCGCAGTTGGTTCTCCATGGCCTAAAATTCTCTAAAATTGTTTTCATGTTATCAATAATTCCTGAAAAATTTGCTTTATAGCATTTAGAATTGTGGAACCATTTCAGAAAGCCACGTGCAAAACGCAAGTTGTGATATGCAAATTCCATGCCAAAAAGCAGAATTCCTGAGCGTGGCACGCTACCCGAGTGATTAGACAAGCTTCAAAAACTTACACAGTACACTGAAACTGGTTTCGTATTAAATGATATTCTGTTTATTTGCTGCTACATAAAAGTGCTGTTAACATTTGCAATCTTAAACTTTCTGCAGATTTTTGGAGGAAGGAAATGATAATGATTGGGCCTAAGAACGCATCAATTAGGAAAGGCATGAGAAGTTGTTTGTCAGAAGAAGAAAAGCTATTACAGTAAGTACATCGAAAAAAACCTCATCTTACACTATGGAGTAAGGTTTGCTCTATAGAAAAGCCATTTCGAAGACTGACGTCTCTTGTTCCTCAGCAGGTGATTCATTGTGTCATGCAGTTTACTTAAGATTGCCAGAGAAGGAAAAAAAAGCCCACCAAAAGTATTTTCACTCTCTCTTGAAAAAATTGAACATTTACTCTGATAGCTTCGACGGTATTAGTATTAAGGTTTTCACACTTGCTAAGAGAAACTGGTTTCGTAGAGTGTTCTTATTTAGTGACATGATGTGTTTATGATTGTAGAAAAAGATTTATGGGGGATATGATTTGATGCAAGATAACGGCCGTCTGTCACCTCTGAAAATTTGCTTTTGATGCATAAGCTGCCTTGGGGAAGATCTGACTCTTTATCTCCTCATTCAAAGGTAAGAGGCAATCTGTTGCACAAAAAAGATATTGCTCATTCACCCTGAAAATGTTAGGCAGTTACTTGTTCTTTCGATCGAGTTAATACGAAATGCGTCAAAGCGCCAAAGTCAATCTTTTAGGTTTGGTCTGAAAACACTTTTAATTTTCATCTCTAAATTTGTCGATTCTTTACTTGTATTTTTAATATTTTGGATTATCAAAAGCAAAGACATGAAAAATAAAGTGTCAGAACTGCCTAGATATTTCCATCCTTAATTGTTTTATGTGGATCAGGAATAAAAAAGTTTTTAACCGGAACTAGAGGTCTAAAAATGTTATCATTTCGCTTTCCAGGTGTGCAAGATGCCAGAAAGTTAGCGTAAAAGTTTTAACTTTAGCACAACAAGTACACTCATCAAATCTCAAAAGATTTGATGAGAGTGGTTGTTGCGGCATAGTTGAACGGAAACTTGTGCAATTCTGTCATGATGGTTCATAAATTGTCTCTGAACAGTAAATTAATACAGCTGCCAATTTTTATGTATGTAATTATCGCGTACCTTTCCTCTTTCAGCTAGCCCAAAGATCATAAGTGTATAAAAGAAGGTCAAGAGTGACGAGGTTACTTTTTATTCGGTGAGTGTAGCTTTGCTCAGTGTTCATTTGAGCAAAACCTTGTGTAACGTTCGCGGAAGTTTTTCATGGTCTTTTGACAGAAAGAATTTGTGTCGTCCTTGTGATGAAGGTTTGTTTAAGACGCATGCGGATTCATTCTATTTTCTGAATTCAATATTTTCCAAATCTATGAATGCCATAATTAACAGAAGCTTGTGGAGGTTTGTCTTTTGGCGGGAAAAGTTCGTTTGTCGTCCTTTTGGTTAAAAGTGTGACAAAGTATGAAGGCGGGTAACGTTCTTTGGCTCAAATTCTTGGTCTTAATTTCATTTTCCTGATTGCAGATTTCTTCGGCCACCCAAAGCTGGACACCAAGGAACTCGATCACCTTCAGGATTAGACCAGTGACAAATATTAATTGGATCGACCTTCACTTCAGTGAATAAAATAAAAAATTGGAGGTCGATCCGTCCACCAAAGGCGGTTCCCCGTCCACCACCTCTCCCCATACCCGCCACTTTTGATCAGTTTTCGTAACTCTTGTTATATACCCTGTAGTACAAACATCTTTTATTACAGTTAACTGGTATTACAGTAAAATATTACAATACAATATTTAAATATATATATTACAATGGTAATATTACAATCTCTTTCTTACATTATAATACAGTAATATTACACTCATCTGATACAGTTTTTTTTTCTCCATCCGACCTCCCCCACCACACCCGCCTCTGGGGTCCACTTTTTTAAATCGTTCAACAACTTGTCTACCTTGTGGTAGTGAAGTTTATTTCAAACGCATGCATCTTTTGTAACCGAACATCTGTCTCAAGACACATGCGTACTGCAAGACGTTGTTACCACAAGGTAGACAGTTTACAAATACTTAAAAACTGCCATTGACCAACAATCCCTAATTTTTGCTTTCTATCCAAGATGGTTTCTTGAGGTGGTCATCTTTCACGAAATCTGTGAAGAGAGAAACTCGAATGAGTATCATTGAAACATTATGATAAAAATATGACATCAATACGAATGTGCGTTAAACTGAAACCCATCAGGACGAGGGTTCTTCCTATGTAAATAAAAAGAAATGGGTTTATTAATTTCGTTCGACTATTCCACGAGGCAACACTCTTACGAAAATTAAAGGAACCTTTTAAACAAAATTACACAACGCTACGTTCAACTGTAATTACACTTACCACTCATCTCCCACGAAATCCATAGTAATCTTGTAATCTTCATGTCACCTGAAATACGAAAAATACACCCAACTCATATAACGATACTAAACGGAGCTGACAAGTTTTGCTCAGAAACGCTGAACATTTTTCTGATGTAAATTGGTAGATCTCTTTAAAACATAAGATAATAATTGTACTTTCTCAATTATTGAGACAAATTATGCTTAAAAGCTCACATTTTACTTGTCTTCTTTACAGAACCATACGAGATACGCAAGTTTTAATGAACAAATAAATATCTCTTATAATACGTTTGGTGTGTGGTATCCATAATTATTTTTACGACTTGCAGAGCGAAACAAAGCAGGTAGAGAAGCGTAGAACGGACATCCGACTGGTTAAAGTCCCACAGTTTAGCTCGGGGATATTCGGTCACGTGATGCGTTTAGACCAATCGCGTGGAATAATACTTGATTGGATCCTAAAGCATGATATTTGTACTCAATTCGCGCGTTATTTTTACTGAACTTATTTTGGCCTATGAGGTTCTGTACTTGTTTTCTGGTTTCAAGAATTCCATAAGATTTGATTCTGCGAGTAACCCTGGAAATCTTGTCGCTTTATTTAAACCAGCAAACTTACCGAATCTATTGCGGATGTTGAAAGAAAATATCATTGTAACTTCCACGTCGGCACTAGTACTCTTTATGACCAACTCTCAGACTAGGTGACATATTTACCTGGGTAACAAAAAATAATGGTGTAAATGAAAAGTGAGTCAATATCTCAACATGAACGATAGCCAACCGTTTCTTGAATAATTAAGAAAACAAATTATTTGGAAACCTCTTTCAGTCTTCCCTTTCCTTAGCCATCGTTGTTCCTAATTAGTCTACATCCATCTCTTCAAATTAATAAAATGTTTGCTGTCTGTCTAAGTTACCTAACTGAAATTTTGTAGTTTCGTAAAAATTAAATGCAATTTGGTGCGCTGCATGAACACGATTCAAACACCATGACGATGTTCCAGAGGTGATCCATTAATAGAACTACCGGTCGTGGAAAAATGAACCGGAAGGGAGGTCCCTTCTGCTAGTGGAAATTAATTTAAGTTGAATGTGTGAGGATTGAGGTGGAATATCATTCTTGTAACCATAAAGACAAGGTTGAAAGAAAAGTGAAGAAATGCAATTCAAGAAATACACAACTTATCATCAAGTCGCCGGGCTCTATCGAAGACTCTTTATCTACTCCAACAGTAACAAGCTCAAAATACCAATCTCGTGATGGTGAAATTCGCCTATCACTCAAATTCACTGTCATCGGCGTACAAAATCGCCTGGAGTATGTCACCGGCCTACAGCGATGCGATACCAAAGACCACTTAACCACAAAGAGAAGAATACATTTTACAAGCGTCCAAATTCTCCCATAATGCCTCTAAACAAGCTTGGGATTTATTTCACGACCACTCAGAAAAGCCAATGCATCTCTACATGGAACGTCAGGCAGGTTCGAACACTATTTTGTTTCATAGCAGCTCACGATCGCTTGCTTGAGGTCCGCAAAATTTTATAAGAACGAAAGTTTAGGATACCATCTTCGCCGGGAAGCACAGAGAAACTGGGGGAACTTTTTTTAGTAAATTTAAAGTTTACATCCGATCTTAAATTTTCAATACGATAGAGCCGAGAATACAGCTGACCCGAGTGGACTAAGAAGTTTAAAATAGAAAGCTCCAGTCTTCGAAAATTTGACACCGCCTTAAAAATTACCTGATGAGTTTTAAAAGAGACGGAAGGGCGATTTCAAATTTTCAATCCTGTAAAAAGGATGAACCTGCAATTTAAGCTTTCTTGGGTTTTCTGGCGCAGGATTGTAAATTAAACTTTCAAGAGTTGATTTGCATTCTAACTATTGTTTGGGAGAAGAACGATGCCTAATCAAATGATTGTAGAGAGTTTAGACGTGTAGCTGCGCAATGCTCTGTTGATGAATAGGTACTGACGCTAATGTAGCAAATGAGCGCTCGACCACATGAAAATGAACGCTTGCAGCAAATGTTCATACAAGGCTGTCACTTACTAGTTCTACTAAATGGATTTGGCTCAAAGACAAACTGAGTTATTTATCAGAGTGCTTACTCTCGTGTAAGCCTGATAGGCCAATTGTTTCATTCTTCTGTAAGCGAGTAAAGGAGTACAATGACGTATTTATTGTGGAGAAATTTGTTAAAAGTTGCGTTGGAGCCGTAAATTAAACTCGCACCACGAAAATGCGTTTGTCGCTTTTATCCCCCCCCCCCAAAAAAAAAACAAAAACAAAACAAAAAACAAAAAAAACCGGCAAATTCTGATCAGTTTATTCCACGCTGTAAGACAAAATACTTACTACTGGCACCAAAGGAAGTCGATCAGGGCCCACTGATCCACGACGATATTCCACGTTTCTTTTGTCCTGTGTTAAGATTGAAAGAAACAAAAATTATCCAAAATCTTTTTCTTTTCAGGAAAATCCTAACCTAGTTTATAAGTGTTAAATGGTAAAGCAATGTTTAAAATTAATATGCTTCTAATGCGTTTTGAGTTTTTGGGTAAAACAGATTCCCTGATAAGCTTTTCGTCTTCCATCTCTTTTGGAAGGTCAAACATCCGCTCAACCTATGAGGACGGTCCAGTGTCCGAAAGAGTCTTTCCTCTGGCTTTTTTTCGTGGGAGCAAGTCTTTACATAAATGGTCACGACTAAGGAGGATATTGTTTGGGTGACATCGACCCACTAGTGGGTCAGCTTTTAGTCTCCCATCTCTACAGAGTTTGACACCTCATAAGCGTATTAAGACAGTCCCGTGTCCGAATCAGTTTATCTTCTTTTTTGGGGACCTAGTCTTTGCATCACAATTCAAAGTCAAAGTTAGTACAAAGTCAAACTTCCGTTTAGCATACAAAGACAGTTCATTATCCCAAACAGTTTTTCCTTTTTTGTAGGACCAAGTCTTTGCATCACAGATCAAGACTAAACACACTGACCCCTTTAAGACTCAGCATTTAGTCTCCCATCTCTTGTACAAAGTCAAACATCTAATCGCCACATAAAAACAGTCCAGTGTCCAAAACAGTTTTATCCTCTTTTTGGGGACCAAGTCTTTGCATCACAGATCAAGACTAAGGAAGAGATTTTTTGGGTGACACCAGCCCCTTATAGGGCAAGCTTTAAGTCTCCCATCTCCTATACAAAGTCAAACACCTGATCAGCGCATAAAGACAGTCCAGTGACCAAAACAGCTTTTCGTTTTTTTTTCCTCAAACCAAGTCTTTGCATCAGAGATCAAGACTAAGGAAGAGATTGTTTGGGTGACACTGACCCCTTAAAGGATCAGCATTTAGTCTCCCATCTCTTGTACAAAGTCAAACACCCAATCAGTGCATAAAGACAGTTCAGTTTCAAAACCAGTTTAACCTGCTTTTTGGGGATCAAGTCTTTGTTTCAGAGGCCACCGTCAAAGTCAGTAAAAATTCAAACCTCTGTGCAGCACATGAAGACAATCCACTGTCCAAAAGTTTTTCTAACAATAGATGGCAATTTATCCCGTGCATAGATCCACCTTTGTCTACCTTCTAAACAACTACATCAGGAATGGATACCATTTTGAATCACTGATGGTAATGTGAAAGTCGTAAGTGAAATCTTCCTGTTCACCATGAAATTGAACACTATGCATCTGAAGTGAACTACAAAGCATCCTTCACATCAAAGTCTTTTTTACCTGCTTCAGCTAGTAATTGGATTTCACAGCAAAGCAGTCATAAATTAGGATAAATCCAAAAATCCATTCTTAAGGCTGAACCTACAGTATACTGATGGGCCACCCATCCTGTAACAAGAAAAAACATTTTCTTCAATGTTTTCCTTGTGTTTAGATATATAATGGCATAATTGCACAAAAAAGCTAGCAAACAGACATTTCCTCTTTGCAACCCCACTCAAAGAATATCGGTCTTTCATCAGTCAACCAGTCTGTAACTTTGTTGGAGGGTTGCCTTAAGAACAAGGAAGGTTCAACTGTCTTGCCTATAATATTATTCTTCTGCCAATGGACTTCTGGCCATTCCATGCTTAAGAACAAGGAAGGGTTCATGTTGCTATTTTCTAGTAATTTACTAGTAAGCTAGTAAGCTAGTAATTTTCTCATATTGCTTACAGCCCTTGACTTCCAGCATGATAACCTATGATTCAACTTCCAGTGAATCGATTTTTCAACTACCATAGACAAATTGTGTCAGATTGGGTGTAGTGGACATGTATGCTTTGTTGCCAACAAATATTCATCCTTTCCTTTGCTTCACTTTAGAAAAGGAATGTCTGTGAATTTATGTTTGGTTAACATAACTGAATGACCGAAATGCTATTAAAAAGTTGGGTTCATTTTTTAATTCCTTAACAAAAAAGCTGTAAATTCCTAACAAATTTCAACCAAATTTCATTGTTCAATACTTCGCCAAAAAGGAGAACATAACATGTCAATCTGTGTAAAACTTTTCACAAATATTTTTAGATTCTATCCATAGAACATTTTAATCCAATTTCAGGCAACAGTTGGCAAACAAATTTAACAGCTTTTGTCATTTGCAATAAGTCATTAGGCATTAGTCAGAAAGTCAGTCCATGGGAGGGTAATTCAGTCACTCAGTCAGAGTGAGTCAGTCATTCATTCAGTAAGTCAATCATTCAGTCTGTCAAACAGTCAGCCAGTTAATAAGTCCCTTGGAGGGCTGCTTAGTGAGTTAGGCAATCAGTCATGCACTCACTCAGTCTGAATCACACAATATTTCAGTCAGTCACACAGTCTGCCTCTTGTTAAGTACATTGGAAGGTTGTTTAGTGAGTCAGTCGATCATTCAGTCAGTCTGAGTTAGTCAGTCAGTCAATCAGTGAGTCAGTCGATCATTCAGTCAGTCTGAGTCAGTCAATCAGTCTGCCACTTGTTAAGTCCATTAGAAGGCTGTTTAGTGAGTTAGTTAATCAGTCACTCAGTATCAGGGTCATGCAATAAGCTGTATAATCTCACACAAAATATACAGGTTTTGTAAAGGATGTAAGCAAATCAGTCAGCTGATCAATCAGTCAGATACTCATTCAGACAGTTGGCAAGTCAATCAGTCATGCACCAGTCCATCACTAACTCACTCTTTCCCTCACTCATTGACCAAGTTATTCCGTTAATGACACTTATGACAACTCTCCTGGATTTTGTAGGAGTCATGTAGATAAAGCATGAATCTTCAAGTCTTACACACAGTGGAACTTCATCAAATACCCTCACCAATGGGCCAAAAAAAGGCATTTCATATTAATGGGGTGGCCCTATGACTGTGACAGGGTCAAATTGCTGGTTACTTAGCAAGTTGCCTAAGAAGATGCTATCATCAAGATTATTTCTTTAACCCTTTAACTCCCAAGATCTAATTAGTAATTCTCCTTACTGCCTGCTGTACAATTCTTATGTGCATTTTGGAGAATTTAGTATTGGATCATGAACCACCAATCCCCTAATTGTTATTTTTCTTTATTCTCTTCAGTTGTCTGCTTGATATTGTAAATATTGCAAGGAGAAATTCCATTTTAGGCACTCATGGGAGCTAAAGGGCTAACTTGATCACCTTTTTAATAAAAACAGGGAGGAATGTTGCTTACTTGTAAATAAATTGGCTGTTTGATTAGACAAAGTCGAAGCACTTGAGTGAACATTTATATAAATTCAAGGCTATTTTGAGGAATACATTCAAAACCTGAAAATAGCAAAAAACACAAAAACAACAAATGCAAATTTAAACAAATTGTAAAACGTATACATTCTTGTCAGCTCCTCACAGACTTTTTAACACCTTCCCTCTTGCCCAAGAAACTCCTTTTGACTTGAACTTTTGAGTTTGCTGGCCACAAACACAGCTCAAAGAACTTAGAACACATGGTCAGAACGCCAATCAGTAGATTTGAATTTCCCGCAAATTGTTCAGAATCGAAAATATCCCAATATTCTGGGCCAAGCCTCAAGGGTACCTTGAAACTAAAAATAATTAGGGACAAACGTTTATTTTCAATAAAAAGTATGTACAGTAGTTTTTCAGGTTTAATCCTTACCTGGCGGATTGTCCAAATGCTCTCCATCCTGTCTCTACGCGCATTTTGCAACCGCTGTTATCATTTTTCTTTCCATAAATCACCACACTGGAGCAAATTTGTTCTGAGCGGTAAGCGATATTTGAGATCAAGTTTTCTTTACCAGTTTTAGGTCAAAACGTGTAAATTGATTCATCGTTTCCTTTCATTTCTTGAGTTCCGTCGTCTTCGTAAAACCCTGTGACAACGCCATGTTGGATTAATTCACTTCCACTTGTTCCCAGTATTTTAGCAAGACTCGCCACGCTACACGCAAACTTGTGCGGATCGGAGAAAATCACCACTTTCCTTTGGCATCAGTAGAACTGTTTCGTTTGAGTGTAATTTTCTGGCTCAGGGTGAATGTTATAAGGCCCTAATGACTTTAAGGCCAAACTTCTTTAGAAAGTTCATCGTTTTTACTTCTCGATCAGCAATTTTTGACATAAAAAAAAACATGCACGAACGAGCGAGTCTTCGCGCGAGTAGAGTGTAGCGGGCTTTATTAAAGTGAGTGCATAATCATCATCATCATCATCATGGTTGTTGTCATCGTCATTGACATCGTTGGAATCAGAGGCTTGTAATTACGTGTTACACAATCGAAATTGGGTTATAATATTTCCTAAACGATAGCCATGATTAGTTGGTACAATTGAAATCAATATGGTGTGAGGAACAGTTAGGGAAAGTTTGCATTAACTATTACTTCTGTATCCAGTGAGGCACCTTAACGCTTAAGAACTTTTTAAAAAGGTACATATGAAAACGAGAGCGGGAGAAGAAATAGAGCTCGACACTCTGAGACTTCTCTTGGGTGGAAACAAATATCTTTTCCACTACTAGAGCCACCTTCACAGCAAGAATTATATATTTTTTTCTGTGTCTCTCTCTCTCTCCTTTATTTATTTATTTATTTATTTATTTGTTTTCATTCCAGTATGCCATCAATGACGGACTGATTGAAAGAATCGAAAAGCTGAATGCGTGAAGAAAAGATAAACAGCACCACAAACCCTCGGAAGGAAATAAGAATACCTTACGAAACAATATAAGTGCTTTTATAATGTATAATAAATCCGATGAGCAATGAAACGGTAAGTGAGTATCAAGGCAAAATGAAAGTGCCAAGGAAAATCGCGACCACATGTCAAAACACGGGGATACGTTACGGAGACGGCGAACCAATTTAAAAGCTTTAATATAATTGTCTATATTGTCTCGTAAACTGAAATCAATAAATTAACAGGAACTAGTGTAAGAACGCGCGTGGCGACCAACAAGCGAAATACAATGAAAATACCTGAGAGAAACCTAAGTGACGCAATAAACATGCGATAATAAACAAAATACCAAAGTGTACTTCATGAAGTTGCCCCGAAATTACAATAAAAGAACATTTCAGATGTTCAGGTGCGAGCTGTTGACACAGTGAGCGTGGACAGTTCAAAGCTGAGGAAGTGATTGGGATCGCCCGAGCGTTTCCAAGATCCATGCATGTTTTCTGTTTAGATCTACTCCGTTAAGGCAACGTTTCTTGACTTTAAATTTATTCCCCGGATAATTTTGTTTTGTAGTCATATGTAATAAAGGCTCTAAGTAAAACAGAGTTCATAAAAAGGGGAGACAATCATTGCTGAACTTTACCATTCAAAACGGCAATTGGCAATTTTAACTTTTAGCGCTTATGTTTTTCTCGTACATCTACTTTACCAACCGAAATGTAGAGCCATGTACAGTCACTTTTCTGTGTGATGACGTTCTGAATGCCACTCCAAGATTGTGGATTACCTAAGATCTGTTCATCGGCAGAGTATTGAGCTGCCATTAAGTCGGCCAGGCCTCTTGCCCGTTACAGCTCTTCGACATAAAGAGCATCTTGGAAATTCCCAGTGGAAGAAAGAAACTGACGGAGCAACTGGTAGGAAGAAGCGCCGTACTTCTCTAAAAGGGATTTTTTAAATTGATCGCTGTCTTTAATAAAACCTCGCAAAGTAACGAATTTTTTCATGCAACGAGAAAGATAGGGATAGGCTTCTGTAAGATCAAGTTGTGATAGCCTCATTACTGTGAGATAACGAAGGCACTTAAACTCACTCAAGTTATGTCCAATATCCCTGCTTAACTGAAGAGAGCCTTCTTGAGGTAATCTTCAGCCATGTCATAATTACCAAGTTATTTGAAAACATGCTACTAAGTTTGCTTAACTGACTACTTCTTCTCCGGGGCCCATTTCCGAGTAAAGGGCAAAGGCTTTCTTGTAATGTTTTTGAGTCTTGCATATTCACCACACTGACCAGAAATAATTCCAAGGTTTCCGTCATCGGCTGCTTCTCCTCGTCTGTCACCGATTTCCGTTCTTATCGTCAGAGCGATGACGAAGGACTAACGCTCGAAACGTCAACCTTTAAACTCTTTACGGTGGCCAATTTACGTTTTCAACCTAGTTGTTGACACTAAATTACCTGCTGTACTCTCCCATCGACGCAGCACCACAATTTCTTTAGAGACTTACCCCCTTTATTAATTTGAGCTACAGATAATTTGTTGGCGGTCTCGGCCATATAACAGGTTTATATTTGACAAGCATCCTTGGTTTCGAGTGGAACACTGAACCATTTCAGTTATTTGGCTTGCATGTGCAGGTCCCATTTGATGTGTTTTTTTTACGTCGGTGACTCTCGCTTAGTGGTGGATCTTTTTATTGTTGAAGTTCTTTCGTTATTATTATGATTTTCTTGCTTGTTTGTTTGGTTTTCTTTTTCTAATTTCGCCGTTGTTATCTCATGGAAAGTTTTTTTTTAATTGTTAGTTTTTTTTTTCGTGTTTTATTTCCGCTGCAGTGTTCTCTCTACGTTGGAATATAATAATCTCTTGACGAATGATTATTCAACATTTATTTGTGAATCAAACAATTTAGGGGATGTGATTTTTCCTGATGGAGGTTCCACTGAAGCGGAGATTGTCTGCAATGAAGGAATATTTTCTGGCTTATATTCAGATTCAGTAAGTACTCTTTCTCTCCAATACTTAACTTAGGGGTACCAAATAGATCTTTGATTTTCACCAAGAAAGGAACTTTCCCATCACTGATCATGACATTTAATATAGGTGTACGTTAGTGGTTTATCCTTATCGTTGTTACAAAACAAAAGATCAAACGATATATGAGCCAGACACCAAAGAATAGGGACATATACTGTAACCAGAACTGAAAAACAAACTGTGTAACTGATCGCACTTGAAAGCGTAGGTTTTTGATGAGGACAATAAGTCTTTTGGGTAAAGTTAGATAAGTTAAATGAGTTGTATATTACTATTCGTCCTGTGGTCATTCTAAAACGTTTTTGGATTTCGACAGAGAGGTAAGCTAATCTAAAGACGTCTCAGTGTTTTTCGAAGTTTTTTTTTAAAGTTTCTTGCTACGAAGACCTTTTGAAATATCTGTAGTTGGTTCTACCGATTCAGAGAGCTCCAAATCTCATAGCAAGCAATTTGTTTTCACATTGAGTAAATAAAGCTGGAAGTTTAGGGAGCCAAGGTAAGCCTAACATCGGTCATTTATTTTTCAATTGGTAACTTAAGTTCCGGTTGATAGACTCTATGTGAATGTGGCTGGTGTAAATCTGACCTCAAAGCCATCAAACAAATTCGCATATTATAAAACATCAACCGGCTGTGATATCAAAGACATGTCTTGAACAACCAAGTTTAAAGTAACTGTTTCTCCTCCCTAGTTTAGTCAAAACAGCTAAGATGAGCTATATATTTTCATAAAGGAATGATTTAAAACACCTACAGGCGAACACAAAGAATGTCAAACCTATACTGTTGCTTACGGGATTTGGATCCCTGCAACAAATAAAACTATGAGCGTATAACTAAAAGTTTGGCTCATAGTTTGTTGTACTGTTGTCATGCCAGTCTTGATTTAAGTGCAAATAATCCGTAAACCTAAAACTTCCAAGCAGTGTCACAGCCGTGAATCAATAAATAGCTATAAATGTAGGAACTATTAAAATCGTGACACCAACTTGTACGAGGAATCTTAATACGCTTTTGACTGACAAACGCAAAACTGAGTTGAAGGTAGGAGTGATAGGCTCCTGACAACGTTCATTTTGCTTGTCTGTCCCCAAACAAACGCAAAATAATATCATGATCGGATAACATTTTTAATGTTTCATATTTAACAATCAGCTGCAGTCCATTAATTACATTGCTTGTGTGAAGAGTCTTTCTTTTAATTTACAATCAAACTTATGAAATTCGATTGATCAATTAGAAACGATTGGTTTCGCTTTGCATCTGATTGGTTAAAAAGGTGGCGCAAATTAAACCTAGTAAAATGGCAGATTGAAATAAAAAATCCATTGACTAAGGATTGATAACTATCTAGAATAAATCTTATAGAATTTACCTCACACTCCGTCCGAGGCAGTCGTCGAAATAACCAACTTTTTTCTTTTGTGTACGTTGCTGTGTTGCATGGAAACAAGAGAACATAAGGGGGAAGTAGGATAATTTTTCCTTCTTAATGTTTATTTAAACGGAAGAGACTTACACTTGTGGATCATTGGCGGCAAAATACTGTGATGAAATGATGAAATGGTTTAAAATGTGGGGTTTATCCTACCCTCGTACCACCCCCCTTTAAAAACATTATGAAAGCAAGGGCCATCACGTATTCAGTCAACAAAAAAGACACTAAGCCAGCGCGACTGCTATCTTAACAACGGGGGTAGATCTCCTCAAGTAATACCCCGTTAGCCTTTCGAAAACCTTTTTAAACAGGAATCTCTTATGTATACGTTCCTTGTAACCCTTTCACCAAATTGATGAAAAATCTCAGGCGTGTCTGTTCTCAAAATGTTTTTAAATGGCTCCTCTATTTACCTGATCAAAAGATTCCACGTATAATTAGAGCTTAAAAAAGTCACTTCTTTTGAATGAACTAAACAAAAGGTGTCCTTGGAGGTAGAGAAGCGGCTGGTTTTCACTTTTTCATTATTTGTTTGGTCGGAGAGACCTGGTGCCAACACCCCTGAAGAACTAGTGTGCATCATAAGGTCCTGGCATGACATTTCTGCCGTTCCATCGTTTCAGCGGAATGACATGTTCGAGTTCCACATGTCGCTTTTTTTCCAGTCAACCGCCCCGATGTAATTTGGTGTAAACAACCCGTCTTCTTATCGTTAGGATATTGG